TGCTCTTTCTCCTGCTGTCTGGCCTTGCTGCTGCCTTTGAATGAATTGCAGGGAGAAGTACGTGGATTTGCTGGAAGGAATGTTTTTAAGAGCCAGCTGCAAACAGGAAAAATGAATATGCCGTCAATTTCAACCTCTTTCCAAGATACTGGTGTTATTAACTTTAGTTTGGAAGAAGATCAACCCAATCAGGCAGGTGAAAGGAATTCTGATCATGAGGAAACACCTGGAAACAAGAGCGACAAACAAACCCAGACTCGAGAAAGCGGGAAAGAATCCATCATTACCAAAATTTCAGTTCATGAAGTTCCAGAAATGACATACGATACGTCTTTTTAAAGGCGTTCAGTTAATTCCGCCATTTTTCGCACTTTTCATGTCAAAGACTAAACGTATAGTTTAGTGAAAGGTCTTTTTGTGTGGGGACTGAAAAGGCGGATTCATTGTGACGTCATTGTTTACATTTTACCTCATTAGCATACAAGTTAACCCATAGAAGATGAAGGAAGATGTAGCCGTATATACCAATTAGGTTCAAAAATTAAAAGAGCTGGCAAATTTATAAAGTTTGTGCACGTTTCAGCTCCTTGCAATCAGTAAAAAAGAAAAAAGCAGCAGTTAAAAACTGCAAAATTACTTGATGAGCTCATACATTCTTCGTAAATTTTGGGCTTTTTTAAAGAGAATTTCCTTGAATTTATCTGGTATATCGGGTTCAATTTTTCAGAGATAACTGAAAATGTTACGGTCTTTCAATATTCAGAAATTTCATGTTATTAGTTTCATCAGATGATGATAAGCCTACGCTAATAAGGCAAAAAATGTCAACAAGGATTCACCTGTACAGTAGAACCCCGGTAACTCAAACTCTGAGAAGGGAGACTAAAAACAGTTAACCTGAGGCGCGGCTCTATTTTCGTTTCTCTTTGTAAATAACATTCCGGAGGGTAGGGCGAAACGAATTTTAGCGCGACTACGTAGGAGAGATTGTATGAGAACTGCTAAAATCGGGCCTGACCTCCCGAGGTTAAAAACAGTTCGAGTTAGCGGGCGTTCGAGTTATCGGGGTCGATTGTATCTTCAATTCCCATGGTAATAGTGACAGTTTATTGATATTTCAGCACTTTAGTATATGGCAGAGGGCACATTTAACTTATCTCATCAGAAATATTAACACGATTATGCATTTTTATGATAATACCGGGAAACGACTGTCAGATACATGATGTGTTCGTTGCCCTTATTAAGAAGCAGTAAAAAACAAATTGCTGTAATGTTAGTTTTAGGGGTTGTTCCTCAGTTTACAAGACGAGGAATTGCCAATAGGATGGCATTCGTGGTGAGTTCCATGAACTAGAATTCGAGTTATAGAAGTAAATTCGGATCAAGGGAAACAAAATTTCGTTCGAGTTAGGGGGGAATTCGAGTTATCTGAGTATAAATGACTGAAACGTAGGATCAAATCCTAGGGAAATGGGACTTAGTTCCAGTTATCCAATTTCCAGTTAAACGGGGGTCCTAATGTAGATTCAAATGAATGTAAGCAGCTTTGCTCGTGTTTTTGTCATGTTCTAGATGGCTTTGAGGCTATCGTTAATTCCATCAACTATTTATCAGGAGTTTTATTCTTTACCCCAGTTTTTATTAGTACTAGCTGCTAATTTATTGGGCATATTTACTCAAGTTAAAATTTGAGGGGTTTAAAAAACAAAATAAAAAAAACTACAAAAATTTAAAAATGAAAACCACAAAAAAATACAAACATATTTACTCATAAAACCATTAGCTACTTCGAGGCGATAGTCAAAGCAAACCGAGCTTATCAATTTTAAAACAATAGATTGAATATGAGCAATTTACGTGACACCGTGAAGTCCAAAAACGATTAAGCTCACACGTTCGGAGGCCTTTTGCTGTCGCCTTTTCATC